GGGGGGGGGGGCTGAAATAAAAACACAGGTGAAACCCTCGTGAAAATGCACCTGCCGTGATTTTCCACCTGGTTTCCAACAGTTAATCTAATAAACCAACTAACTCATTAGTGACTAGTGGTAGCAATTTTATACCCACGAAGGAAGGCATTTTTGGCCAAATGGACCCTCAAATTCCTTTCAGTAGTAAGGCATTTGCCGTCTTCGTCTGTGAGATGGTACAATGCTGACTCTTCTCTAGTTACATATATTCCTCTCACACCCATCTTTGCATTCTGGCTTTTGTACTTGTTTCATACATTTTAGGTTTTTGCACAAATTCCATAAATAAAATACCTAAAATTTCTTAGAGAAAGGGGAAGTTGCAATATTGTTGGCTAAAATAAAAATATATATGGACTACAAAAAATGATTTAATAACATTCTTGCGTTTGTTTTCCAGAGAGTATGAAGGCCTTTTTCAAAGTAAGGAATTGTCAAAAACCTAACACAGATGCTACTGAGGCCCATGTTAAACATTACTATATTGCGGCTGAAAAAATACTGTGGAACTATGCTCCATCTGGTACAAATTACTTCAGTAAAAAACCTTTAACAGAGCCTGGAAGGTAATGATTCGCTGATTGAAGTATTTATGGTTCAATAAGGATAATTGAAACTTTTCAGAGCCCAGCTATTCCTAAAAAGGATTTAGACATCTTATAATAAAAAGATTCTGATTAAAAAATAAAGGTAGAAAAACATCTTTATCAGTAATTGGAAAAAATTGAACCTAAGGATCATTGCCACACAAAATTTTTCCCTAAATGCCTTGGCGGCCAGTGCAAAGGAGAGCACACCGCTCATAGGTTTCCTAGCACTGAATGTTAAAACAGATTTGTTTTATAATTATGAGATATTTAACAGCATAGTGGATAATGTTATCAATAGCAATTTTACAAAAATTCAAAAAAATTACTCATGTGTAATTTATACTTTTCTGCTAAGATCTGAAGGCAATTAAATAATTTCATGTGGCATCCTTAAATTGTATTATATAAATATTTTTTACTCAATAACATTTAAGACTCTATTACCAATTGCTATGTTAATGAGCAAAAACTAAGACTGAGATACATTACTGTAGCATCAGCATTTAAAAGTGCATAAAAGGTTTTTCTGATAGTCCAATTGCTAAATATATTTACCAATTTGAAGATTACAAGAGTTTTAATCCTTCTGGTCTATTGAATTAAAGTTCTGTGTCATAAAATATCAAGTTCTAAAGTGACCAAAAAATAATGTTTTCCATAGTATTTATTTTTCTCTAATTCACGCACCAAAAATTTGAGAAAACTAGAAGTGTTCTATCCAATGAACATTTCCTCTTCTTACATTTTAAGCTCATCGATGAATCATTCAATCTGTTTAATGGAAATTTTGTATTAATTGTGAGAAGCATGTCAGGGCCGAGAGCAAAAGTAGATTCAGAGTTAGGTCCAACTGTCGTCTTGTATTGACTAAAGCACGTATGACGCCGTTCGACTTGCTTGGTTCTCCCGGTCCTGAAATGCTGTGATGCTTAACACTGCGAGTCGCCAGCTCATTGCTGGGGATCGCTTTTTCTCCGCAGACTCCGTTTTATTTTATTATGGGAGAATAAAAACATGAGAATGTCTCTCTCATCTTTAATATCCTCTCATCTCTGCACATACTTGTTTTAAAAGCAATGTTTGTTACTACCTGCCTGAAAAGAATCAGACACATGTCTTTTTAATTTTTATTCCAAAAAGGAAAATTTGTAGGTAAACTGCTAGGTAAACAGAGGTACTTATATACCACACACAGAGAAAAGACTGAAAAGATACCCATGGGAAATATTGGCAACGGCTCTAGAGAGATGGTAGGATGATGGTGATTTTAATTTTCCCTTTATATTTTTCTTTCTTTCCCAAATTTTCTACAGTGAGCATAGATTACTTTTAAAAATATATTACAAGCAGTTTAAACAGATGTATGTAGATTCTTGCTTTCTTTTCGCATGATCGCTATAAACTTAGAAGTTCTTTGTGTGTCTACCTTCTCTGCACAGTGACTCTCAGAGATATTTTGAACAAGGCCCAACCAGAATTGGAGGAACTTACCAAAAACTAGTTTACCGTGAATACACGGATGCTTCCTTCCAAACACAGAAAGCGAGAGAAGAGCACCTTGGAGTCCTCGGTAAGTCCTATTCACAGCTTGCAAGCCTCTAAGTATGTACCATTTACACAAATTCTGTGCAGTCAAAAGAGTATCCACCCACTCACGGTTCTATTGACTTTGGCTGTCATCCTAAACCTTACGAAAACAATATATTCCAATTCGCCCAACTTTAAACTACATTCTTTTTCCCTACAAATCCAGTAAGATTACTATATTGATCCCAAGTGACTTTTTTATGACCCCGAATCACCTGGACCTTTGGCAGTTCCTGGTTGACTGACATCATCCCTTTAATCCATTCTCAGACCCTTACGCAGGTAACACAACCTGACAGTTACCCAAGTGACACAACCTGACAATTACATTTATGACAGCCCTAACTACTAACCGCTGGTTTCTAGGCCCTGTCATTAAGGCAGAGGTGGGAGACACCCTCAGGGTCACTTTCTATAACAACGGGACCCTGCCGCTGAGCATGCAGCCTCATGGACTGCGCTACAGCAAAAGCAACGAAGGCTCCTACTACCGAACGCCCGGAGGAGGTAAGCAGAGCCTGAGGGCGGGCCAGCAAGCCATGCTGAAATCTAGTGTCAACAAGGGGGGGAATTTCCTCCTGAAGCCGTCGTCCAGCCCCGTTCACATCTGAACAGTCCGGGTGCCTGTTCCGGCAAAGGGATTCTTTCGGCCCCTTTCCACCGTCTCCCAAGGCTCTGCGAGGTGAGCAGGACACAGCTCTCGCTCGCAGGGGTCTTACAGTCCAGGCCAGAGTACTTTGGGTCAAGGATTCTATTTTACAAATGGTTGTTCCTTACTAGGTAGCCCTTCAGCCTCCTCACATGTAGACCCTGGCACGACATTTGTCTATACGTGGCAAGTTCCAAGAGATGTGGGGCCTACCTCCACGGATCCCAGCTGCCTGACCTGGTTGTACTACTCCGCAGTCCATGAGAAAAAAGACACCTACAGCGGCCTCGTAGGGCCTCTGCTGGTGTGCAGAAAGGGAAGTCTCGGCAGGTATGGCAAGCAGGTGAGTCACGGGACCGAGGGCCGGGCAGCTGGGCGACAGTCTCCTGGCACAGGGCCGCAGAGCAGGCAAGGGGGCAACCGGCAGCTCCCGCCCTGTACTCATGTCCCCCAAGCCTGTTCTTTCAAGTCCAGCCTCTATCTTGCTCTGCCCAGTGAACACCCACCCTGGCATGGTCCACGAACACGTCTAATTCCAACTATTTTAACTCTTCATCTCCCCCTGGATGGCTGCACCTGTCCCTCTGCCCTCTGAGCCGTCTTCCTTCCCTCTATTATGCGACATCAGTCGCCAAATCTGCGTCTTATTTTAGGCACCGTTACCTCTCTCTGAGTTCCTTCAGCCTCCCGACTCCTGTCTCACTCTCATCCTGCCCCAGTACAACTCCACGCCCCTTCCTTTCAAACCTAGTTACAGCGGCTCGACGCACTAAAACTCACCCCACAACTTCACCCCTCAACTTCCTGACTGAGTCGCCAGCACCAGGCCCTCCGGCTCCTCCAGCCCGCGCCCCCCTCCCCACGCCCTGCGCCTCGTCCCCCTCACGGCACAGGCCGCTGGTCGGCGGCCGACCGAAGGCTAATTCACAGCTCTGACTGTGCCTCTCTTCTCTCCGTGGGGAGCGGGCTCTCCTCACTGTTCTGCCTGCTGAAAGGGGAGACATTTTCAAAACTCATACTGAGGCTTCCTTCCTGCCCTCCAGACAGTATTTCCTAACTAAAGTTAGTTGAAGTTCCTGCAGATTACTATAGTTCCCTGTCTATGTTTTTATTAAAGCACTTATCCATGCATTTCTTTTTACTGACCTTTCTCTCCCACTAGATCATAAGTTCCTTGAAACCTTACAGGCGTTTTATTTACTTATTGTAACAACCACAGTCCCTCTGTGGCATGTAGTAGGTGCTCAGGAAATGCTTGACGAGTAACTTTCCCTCATTCCTCACTCGCAGGGGAACTAATATCCAAGTTCTTTTCTGCATTTATAGTTTACGTGTAATAAGTCCTTATAAGTTCCCTAACATAATTATATGTATGATTGAATGTATATTTTATTTTAAAATGTTACTATATATTTATATTAATTTATATAAAGTCATATAAAGTCTCATAATTCTTACATACATCTAATTTTTATATTTTATTCCAAATAGAAATAGTTATACATATTTCATTTCTTCATAAACCCTAAAAATGCAGACTTTCTAGAATTAAAACCATTTTATTGAACTTACTTTCTACAAAGCAGCCTATGAAAAGCCACTATCTGTGACTATCTGATTATAAGGTTTCATTTTATGAAGTTTCAGACGTAGAGATCCTTAGAGTAAGAGCTTTATATGAAAACAGCTGTAGAGATGTCTCCCAGCTCCTTAGTTCTGTGATAAATCTGTTCACTGGGATTCATGCCTTTATATAAAATGTCTGTAAGTGGGGAAGTCAGTTGATGACAATGTCGGGGAGTATAGAAATCTCCTTGCAAAGGAAACCTTGTATGCAGCTCAGCCATTTGACTAGACTTTGAATGAGGACCATCTCTACATTCTTTTTTCTATTTTCATTCACAGAAGGGAATAGACAAAGAGTTTTACCTACTTGCCACAGTATTTGATGAAAATGAAAGTCTTCTACTGGATGAAAATATTAGAACATTTACTACAGACCCTGAGAAGGTGGATACAGAGGATAGGGATTTCCTGGAATCTAACATGATGTACTGTAAGAAAACATTTAATTTACATGATAGATGTATTAAGCAGCTGTTTAATTTGATTATGCCTAAAGAGTTGCAGATTGTTTAAAAGAAATGTACATGTCACCCCCCAATGTTTGGCTAATATGTTTCATGTTACCTTTAAATATAATTTCCCAATAAAGATATCTCCTCCAGGGTGATACTGTTAAATTCAATTTACCAAATATTTACAATATATTGTTTAGCTATTATTATATGTAAGACAGAAAAGTCACGTATTTCTCTATTGACAAATTAGTGGAGCGGCTGGGTGGGTGGGGTGTTTGCTGAGTTGGTTGGTTGGTGGTTTTTGAAGAGTCTAAGATGTAGTAGAAACAGCATTTGTCTAGAGACTTGGATTCTGGGCTTAACAGTTCCATTCATTAGCTTAATGACACTGGAAAGTAACTGCTCTTCTGGCCTCAGTTTTCTAAAATCTAAAAGGAAAGCATCAACTTGGATCATCTTGAGATTCTTACATGAATGAACTGCTTTATGATTAGCTCTGTTGAGTTTCAAAAGATGTCAGTAAATTCAATACTCTTGACTTTGTCTCAAATGTCTTGCAGCCATAAATGGATACATGTATGGAAATCTGCCAGGACTGGATATGTGCTTAGGAGACAACGTTGCGTGGCATGTTCTTAGCGTGGGATCACAGAAAGACTTACATGGAATATATTTTTCAGGAAATACCTTCACTTCCACAGGAGAAAGGGGGGACACTGTTGCCCTGGTCCCTCACACTTCCAAGACACTTTTAATGACACCCGATTCCACAGGTAAGTAGTGAATCTTCTCCTTCAGCCAGAAACATGTTTAAAGTGTGGAAAACAGTGTCATTCTGTTTGTACTGAAAAAGAGGAATTTGTACAAATAGTGCTTGGAAAATTGTTGCCCTTTTCCATTTAATTTATAGGAGCACTAGTATGTCATCTTCCTGCACCCAAACAATCTTCTCAGCCTCTCCCAGTTTTTTCTTTCTGGGCTCCAGGCTTTAAATCAACGCACAGTCCCCAAAAGCAATGAAGGTGTTTTGAAGAATTTGGCCTTGTTTCCTTCCCACTATCTGCTGCATTTCTTTCTCTCCTGTCCATTTGTTTCCCAGGCCTTCCTTCTGCTTCTACCTCACCCTCTTCTCTCTTCCTCCCTCTCCTTATATCTCTCCTTCCTAGCTTTGCTCTCAAGGCCGAGGTTTTGACTTCAATGAGGTTGATTGTTGCCGGCAAATATTTTTTTAAAATACATCTTATATCAGAGAATTGTTGTGAGAATCAGAGGCGCCAAATTTCCACTCTAAACCTAACACCCTCATTTGTGAAATAAGTATTGTAATAATTTACAATTTACAAAAAGGAATAGGCAATGATCAGATCCCATGAGATACAAGTAATAAAGATGTAGTAAAGCGCCTGGAATATCTTGGACTTTAAAGAAAATGTTAGTGTCTTTTATCCTGCAAATCCAACTTCACACACACACACAAAATTCATCTCTCTTGGTCAAAAGCTACTGGCACCAATCAAATACTATCTTTGCAATAAGCTAGTTACTCTGTAAATACCGTGGGTTGGTATCTTAACTCTTGGTGATACCACAGATTAATTTGACTACATTTTCTACATTCCAAAACTTTTCATTTTACTTTTCAAACAAACAAAATCTGTGATTAAGAGCAATTGGGAGGGGAGGGAATCTTTCTCCAACACGTTCTCCTCTCTACTGCAGATACTCACTCGGTGGCAAGGAAGTTATTGCCAGGCCAGCCCCGCTCTTACTCTCCTTTCCCCTGAACTAAAAAAAAAAAAAAAAAAAAAAATTGCCTGCCCTTTATTTTCTTTCTTAAACAGTATCAGCCCTAGGAAACATGTGGAGATACCAACTACCTGTCAAGCACTGTGCTATACGAGAATCATTTCATTCTAAACAAATTCTCTTTCTCAAACCCTCTGAATCTGACGGTGTTTCTGCCTTGACAGTCTTCTTGAATATGACCCTCCATAAAAATTAATAATGATACTAGAAATATGTAAAGAGCTGAAAGAGACTTACTGCTATGAAGGTAATATTAAGCAGGGTCACAAAGCAATGGGCATAAAACTTACCAATATAACAGACAACCACAATTCAGGTGGAATTCGCTGGTCTGAACCAGGATGGACTTCTTTGGTGTGGTGATTTGTTTTGGCCATGGTTGTTCTTTGGGGTTTTTAATATATTTGGCTGAATCCCTTCAACTTCCTTTCACTCCCTCCACTGCTTCCTCTCTCATCTAAGCCACCATCATCTCTTGTGGGTGATTTTAATAGCCTCCTAACACGTCTCTTTCCTTCCACCTTGCCCAGTCTAGTCTCAGCACAGCTGCCAGCATGCCCGTATGTCACTCATCAATTCAGAATTCCACAGTGGCTCCCCGTGTCACTAAATAAAGGCTACAGACTTTTCAGTGGCACTCAAGGGCCCATGGGACCCAGCCTTCCATTCCCCACCAATCTTGTCTCCTGGTACTCTCGCCCTAGCTCCCTCCACTCCAGGCACACAGGCTTTTAGATGGTCCTCAACCACACCAAGTAGGCCCTCGGCTTGGGGGAGTTTGCTACCTGTTTCCCCGAGATCCACCATTTGCCTTTCATGAGTCTTTGCCCAAATGCCACCCTCCCATCAAGGCCTACCCTGATTGCCCATTGCTCCTTCGAGCTCCTCTGCCCCCACCCCCAGAATCCTCAGTCTTCCATACACTGTTATACTATTTTCTTTAATGTATAGCATTTATTCCCTTCCAACATACATAAAAGTTATACTATGCTTATTGTCTATCTCTACAGGACCTTGCCATATAAACTGTAAGGGCAAGGACTTTTAACTGTTTTGTTTATTGATGTTTCTGAAGTGCCTTGAACTATGCCTGGCATAAAGAAGATGATAAATATTCATCAAATTAGTGAAAGAATGAATGAACTATCTAACTGAATTTCTTTGGGGGTTTGTATCCTACAGATAACCTCACAGAGAGAAAAGAAGCCTGAATGCAAAGCTTGATGAGTTCTTTTCTTACCCACCTTTAGGAAAGTTTGACGTGGTTTGTCTGACCTCGCAGCACTATCTAGGAGGCATGAAACATAAATACGAAGTGAGGCAGTGTTCGGAGCCAAAGCAGTACCCTGAGCAAAAGCAGTACCCTGAGCAAAAGCAGTACCCTGAGCAAAAGCAGTACCCAGAGGAGAGGACTGTTTACATCGCAGCTGAGGAGGTGGTGTGGGACTACTCCCCCAGCAGGCGGTGGGAGAGGGAGCTGCACCGTCTGCAGAGGAAAGAGAAGTATGGCCATGGCTCCAGCCTCTCACCGGGGGGTTCACCCTGTGGACCCCCCTTTCCTTTCAGTGTGTGTGGTGTCATTTTGTGTGTTTGCTATGGCATGTGTGTGTCCTATGCACGTATGTGATGGTATGTGTGTATGGTATGTGCATGGCGTGTGTGTTTAGGACACATTTGATTACGAATAACCTCAAAATGTGTATGGTACCTTAAACTGCAGATGGCTTCAGGTCCTTCTAAATAGGCACGTGCCTGCCTCTGCGCACTGTTTCCTCCTGCCTCCTCCACGCTTGCTTCCTCTTTACCTTCTGGGTGTGTTACCGCCCGGCGCACCACTTTGAGGAACAAGGAGCGTAGCTTCGGCTCCACGTAACATCTGGGATCAGTCAGACTTTCCTTTTGCCGTCATTCATCTCCATCTCCATCTGCTCTTCTGGGAAACTCAAATGAAAGACACTCATTTTTCTTTTAGTAAATTTTGATTTCTTTCTACAATTTTCTCTTTTACTACTTATTCAGTTATCAAAACTAAAATTTTATTCTGAAAACATGTTTTAAAGTATGGAATAAATATCCAACAATCTTACCAGAATGAATATAGTTTTAAAAAAGAATTGCCCGGCCGGGCGTGGCTCGGTGGCTGAGCATCGACCTAGGACCCAGGAGATCATGGTTCGACTCCCGGTCAGGGCACAGGCCCGGGCTGTGGGCTCGATGCCCAGTGGGGGGCGTGCAGGAGGCAGCCGATCAATGACTCTCTCACCATTGATGTTTCTCTCTCTCTCTCTCCCTCTCCATTCCTCTCTCTGAAATCAATAAAAGATATATTTTTTTGGAAAAAANCAGCTGATCAATGATGACTCATCATTGATGTTTCTCTCTCTCTCTCTCCCTCTCCATTCCTCTCTCTGAAATCAATAAAAGATATATTTTTTTGNTCTCTCCCTCTCCCTTCCTCTCTCTGAAATCAATAAAAGATATATTTTTTTGGAAAAAAAGAATTACTTTCCAAGGTAAAATAGTTTGTAGATATTAATAAATTGCATTATTTCAACAAGAAGTTCTTCCATATGAGAATGTATCTAATTTAATTGTTAAAGTAGCTGATTTTGTGTTTTTTGCTTTTGTTTTCATTTTCTCAAAGTGCAACAGACATATATTTGGATAACGTTGGGACATTTCTGGGGTCCAAGTATAAGAAAGTCCTTTACCGTGAATACGAAGATGTCACGTTCACAAAGCAAAGAGAACGGCAGGAGGATGAGAAACACCTGGACATACTGGGTACTGGCGCAGGGTCGCCCGGGGTGCTTCTTGCCCTCCGCCGCTAGGGGGCGGGGCGCGCGCGGGGACACTGCCAACTTCCTCTGGGCAGAGGACAATGCTGTAACTCTAACTCGAATTTGTTTTACGGGAAAAAGAGTGATTCGAGTAGTGTTTAATGGAAAATAAAGAGACCGTCGAAAATTACTATGGCCAGTTTCACATTACCTGGCTTTTTGCACCCAGAATCCAAGAATTCTGGATCTGGGAGGGACCTTAGAAATAGCATTTAGGGATAATTGCACTGAAATTAAAATGAAGCCCAGAAATTCTATAGCGAAGAGGGGGCTTCTTTGTTTAAATTTGTGTTTAGTTTAAACACTTAAGTGTGAAGATTGAATTTCATCTCTGTCCAAGGGTGCGGAAAGTATCGCCCTTTCTTCCACCTTTGGCAGGTCAGTGAGGCAACCTGCAAGTCACCCCTGAGCACCCACATGTAACGTGTTCGTAAGTCACATGGCATTTCCATGTGCCCAGTCCTTTTGGGTCCTGCTATCTATGTATCTGTCAAAGGGCGTTTTTTGGCATGGGACCCTGAGAAGATGGGTCCCATCTACGGACGGGAATGGTTATTGTTCTTGGCCCCTCTTAAGTGTGTCCCTTTTTTACCCCCGGAGCGAGGTCTGTGCTCTCCAGTTCCCACTGCTCTGAGGTGGCTCCCTATCTTTGCTGACAGCAGGATGTCTGTTTTCTCTAGGATTCTGGCCAAACGCAACAAGATAAATAACACAAAATGACCCTCTAGATCCCATTATTATTTATACAAAAAAAGAAAGAAAACACTTTCTAGAAAAGGAAAAACAAGCACAGTGTTTGGGAAGGTACAATTGCCACGGGGCTCAAGTGTCCTCTATAGCCAGTGTTCTCCAGGTCTCTTCAGGGCTCCGGTTTTAGTAATTATAGCACAAGTTTGAGCAGAGTTCTTACTGCTTAGTTCATCTCAAAATCATCTCTGTTTCAGAATTTTTTGAGCTACCAATTCAATCTGCTTTCAAATAGAAAGATTTATAGCAAATGTTATACCTTCAGTGCTTCGCATGGGATGGAGGAGAGAAAGAGTGAAGTAAAGGGGTCTTCGGTCTGTGAGAGAGACAATTACCCTGGGCCATAAAAAGACTTTGCAGCTCTTCCCAAATTTCCACTAGGGTGAAGGGGGAAACGAACTGAAGGCTTAAATGATGAGGTTGGTCAAGAAAGAAAATAAAGCGCACCACTCCTAAATTGTGTGTTTTTGTACGCATCAACTGATGCTCGTCCAAGTAGGTTTTTCTAGAGATGGAGCTTGTAAAAATTCTAGATGACTTAAATTTTCCAGGCAAACGTCATGTTCTATAAATCAGCCATGATCCACTTGTTAAATGTGTTTGTGTCTCTTTTGGTGCATGTTAGGGAAAGGGGTATGAATAAGTCACTTTGTAAATACTTAAGAGGACACATGACTCATCATTTAAAATAAGTAAAGTTATTGACACATTTCTGTTTTTATATTTCCTAGGTCCTTTAATATTTGCCACTCCTGGTGAGCAAATCCGAATTATCTTTAAAAATAAAGCCTCAAGACCATATTCTATTTATGCTCATGGAGTAAGAACAGAGGATTCCACTGTTGTTCCAACACAGCCAGGTAACTGCTTTGGGAGAAAGAAAAGCCCAAAAGCTTTTATATATGGCGATGGGGCTGATGTTCTTTCTTAAATATGGGTGTAGTTCCAGGTGAGAAAGACCAGTGGACTTGGACCAGGAAGAAGGGCCTGAAGAACTTGGGAGAGGAGTCGTTTGACAAGTTGAGTTTGCTTCCAGAAGGGGGCACCATGAGCAAAACCTTCCAGTGTCTACAATCTCTCCTCTAGGGCAGAGGTGGGGGACTCCGGTCCGAGAGCCTAGTGGTTTACTGACCTGTGAGGTTGGCTCCTACTTTCTCACTTCACTTATCAGGATTTTCCCCAAACTTCTTTCTATCCTGCCTCCCCTGCAGCAGTCATTGGACGCAGGTTTGCGCAGTGTGGGTTGACAGCCATTGGAGCCAGCCCTTCGTTGCCAAAGAGGGATCTCAGAGGGGTATCCAGAATGTTCCCCATAGTTCCCCACAAAAAGAAGAAGTTCTAGAAATTAAGTGTATCAAGGAAAGAGCCAAATTTAAAAAGGAAAGCTTTATGGGGCAGAGGGAATGAAGGGAGACTTTGATGGTGGTTGAACCATTCCCTTTTGATTTTAAAAACAAACAGTCCTATGGTGGTTCCAACACGAATGGCCTCCAAGGGTGTTTGCAAGTGGGCACTCTGCTCATCAGTCAGGGAGAGAGCACGTTCCCTGTATTCCACAAACGCTTCTAGTGCCTGCTGGGCCCCCGCCGGGCCAGTGCGGTGTGCTGGAGGGAGGGTAAGCAGTAAGCGGATTGCTGAAGACTCCGAGCGGGGCCTAGGGACAGGGCTGGCTAGTGGAGCATTAACACGATGCCACAGGTGCTTGGGAAAGTTCATTTAAGCNAGGTGGGGTGGGGGTGGGGCATCAAAAAATCTTGCCTGCAAGAGTCAAGGTTCAGATTGTGCAGGGGTAATTCAAACAGCTTTGGGGCGGAAAGGAAGCATATGTAACCCACAAATTGGAAGGCTGAGAGCTGGGATTCAAAACAAGTCTGTCACATTTAAAGCCTGAGTTATTGTCACCACAATCGATGTTTGTTGAATGAATGAATTAGATAATTAATAACTGACATTTGTTAATGGCAGAATCACTCTAAGGTTTTGATAACAGTAACCCTGACAACATTGATAGAGACATTGAACTTGCCCAGGGGTCCAGTGCAACCTCAAGGGCTTCATTTGCATCATCTAGTCTAACTTCTAAATTCCCATTTTGTGTGCGTGAGGAAACAGGAGCTCAGAACTGTAAACATGCTGACTAAGATCACAAAGACGGGAGCAGCGGAGCGGGAGTGAAAAACCCACAAGGACTCTGCTGCCAATCATTCGCGTAGCTTTTGCGGCTGCTCAGCATCTGGTTCTCCATAAAGAAGTGGGATCCAGAAGATTCTATACTAATACATCGTATCTATTTTAGGAGAGATCCGAACGTACACTTGGCAGATTCCTGAAAGAACTGGTCCTGCCTCGGATAACTTTGAATGCATACCTTGGTTTTACTATTCTACTGTGAATCTAGTTAAGGTAAACTTCAAATCAAATCTCAGTTTCTATCCTGTTTCCTCTTGGGAATTATAATGGAAGGAAGAATGAGTTTATGTTCTGTTTTTAAAAAATCTGGGTTCTATGTAAACTTCCTATTAAGTAACCTAAATGCTGCTAGCTTTTAATCCTACATAGGCTTGCATTTTTCAAGAATAAATTATTACATTATAATTACTTAGATTTATGACACTTTTCAAAATGTCACTGTGATATCCTCCTCTTTGTTTCATTGAGTCAGATCTGAGTAACAGAAAACAAAGTATAGAGTTTTAAAATTCTATGGTTAATGAGAAATAAATATGTACACGTTACATATTTTTTAAAATCCCTCAACTCGGGAGTTACAGTTTATTTTATTTTAAAAAAAGAGTTCCCTCTTTGAACTTTTAGTTATTTTTGCCGCTTTCTGCCTGGAACAAAAATCTACTCAGACATTCAACCCCAAAACAAAATGAACATAAACAAACCAAGGCTCCCAGCTGGAGGTGGCTGTGGGGACAGAGGCAGGAGAAAGGATCTGAGACCTTAGATATTTCTGCCAACCAACTCCAACGCCAGGGAATTCTAATTAAAACCAAAGTTCTGTTTTTTAATTAAGTTGTCAAAAATAGAGCTAAACCCATCAAGGAATGTGTCTAAAATTCCTTTCAGGAGTTTGTTCTCTTTGTTTATTTTTAGATATGTCTTTATTGATTTTAGAGAGAGGAAGGGAGAGGGAGAGAGAAATAGAAACATCAATGAGGAGAGAGTCATTCATCACCTGCCTCCTGCATGCCCCCGGCTGGAGGCTGGGGATGGAGCCCGCAACCCAGGCATGCGCCCTGACTGGGAATTGAACCGTGATCCCCTGGATCCCAGGCCAATGCTCAACCACTGAGCCACGCCAGCTGGGCAGGAGTTTGTTCTCTTTAAACGTCAGTGAGTGAGATGACAATTTTCCTTTAATCAAGGATTTAGCACGTTTTGTTCCATACTCTCAGGCTTAGAATCCTAATAATTAAAAATTCAGGATCTGACCTCACTAAAACTGAAACTTGGTTCCACTCTTTTTATTGGTTGGGGGAAATTTTTCGTTGTGGACACAGTTAATATTCTTGCTTTGTTTCCTCAGGATCTTAACAGCGGCCTGGTGGGCCCTTTGATAGTATGTCGCAAAGACGCTAAAGCCAGCATAGTTCACCGTGTTCTCCTCTTTACGATTTTTGATGAGAATGAATCGTGGTACTTGGAAGAAAATATCAATACCTATTCTCTAGAACCGAACCAAGTAGACAAGAATGATGAGATTTTTAGCCTCAGCAACCAAATGCACGGTAATGTCCACCAACTGACACCCTACCGTAGCCTACAGGCTGTTTCCCACAAAGGGAACGGACGAAGGCCCACATTGGTCAAGCTCAGCACAGTTCAGAGAGCATGGTCACACAGAGCTGGGTGTATAGCACAGGGGCCAGGGGGCCACAAATGTTTTCCATAAAGGGCCAGATAGTTCAGAATTTAAGCTGGAGGCAGCTGCGGGGCCAGAGGCACCGTCCCATCTCTGCCGTAAACTCTCCCGCCCTCTGCCCTTGTAGCACAAAAGCCCCTGTAGGCTAGAGGCAAACAAATGGAGGTGGCTGTGAGCCAACACAATGTCATTTATGAACACTGAAATTTGTATTTCGTATCATTTTCACATGCCAGGAAATATTTTCCTTTTCAAATATTTTTTCAATCATTTAAAACTTTAAAAATCCTTCTTTGCTCGTAGGCCATAGAAAAAGGCAGTGAATGGGCTGGACCTGGCTGTGGGCTGTACACCACGGTCTTAGGTGCAGGGCAAATTCTTATGCCTCTGTAGCCACGCAGGCAATGGGCAACCGACAACATCAGCTGCCATTTCTAAACACTTTTCCAAACATTTCACCTGCATGAACACGGGGACGGGTGGGGTTTGAGGCAGAAGGGAGAGCACTAGCCCTACACACACACACACACCCCCCCGCCCATCATCAAATGACCTTCACAGGCAGAGCTTTTAAAATCCCCTCGCTCGTCAACCAAAAGCCTCTTACGGGTTGATTGTGACAAGACTGATTCTGTTTATGACCCTCCCCATCTAGAATCACAGCAATAAGACAGTTATTCAAACAGAAAGCACATAAACAATCTCGATCACGATCTTACTTAATTGCGTCATTAGGAAGCTCAGGGAGATGACTAGGTAAGGGATCTTTGACTAAGGCAAATCCAAATATGATCATTTCCAGTTTCTTAGTTTTCCCCCCACAAGAAATATATGTAAACTTAAAATTAATTTAAGAACTACATCCATTCTAATTATCACCTTAATAGGTATCACAGAGGGCACACAGCACTGTCCTCGGCCCTAATGAGATACACAGGCCCAGAAAACGCACCGTCTCCTCCAGCCGACCCGTGTGGGGGCTGCAGATTGTGAATTGCTACAATTCAAGGCTGACTCAGAGAAATGCTGTAACAGAAACAGGAACACAGGGCTGTCTTTTAAATTCCTGTTTGAAGGTCAAGACAGGTTTCATAAGGGAGGAGACACTGAGTATTTAAGGATGCATAAGGCTCTCTCTAGCAGAAAAGGAGGGAGATGTGAGCTAAGTCACACAGCACCTGGGAAGAAAAAGCCAACAGAATTGTGGAAGGCCTTGAATACCCTGTTGAGAATGTAGCCTTGATCTAAGTGAGGGCTTCTCGAGCTTGCCTCTATTGCCATTTTGGGCCAGATAACTTTGCTGTGTGGAGCCGACGTGTGCATTGTAGGATGTTTAGCAGTATCTCTGGCCTCCATCCCATAGATGCCAGTAGCACCTTCGCCCAAGTTGTGACAACTAAAAGTGTCTCCAAGCATTGCCAAATACCCCCTGGAGCACGAAATTCTGTTGAAAACCATCCTACTACAGGCACGAGGGGCACTGAGCTAGGGAAGGATAGGAATCAATGCATATTTCAGGAGCAGCTCTGACAGTCACCTAAGCACTTGTGCTGCAAGTGTGGTCCATGCATCAGCAGCAGCAGTATCACTTGTACATTTGTTAGAAATGCAGGATTTTAGGCTTCACAGACCTAGTACATCATAATCTGCATTTAAAAAAAATTTTTTTAACTATGTCTTTATTGATTTCAGAGAGAGGAAGGGAGAGGGAGAGAGAGGTAGAAACATCAATGATGAGAGAGTCATTGATCGGCTGCCTCCTGCACACCCCCACTGGGGATCGAGCCCAAAACCCTGGCATGTGCCCTGACAGGGAATCAAACCACAATTTCTTGGACCATCGGTCCATGCTCAACCTCTGAGCCACACCAGCCAGGCTTAATGTGCATTTTAATAAGATTCCCAGGTCACATGCACATTAAAGTTTGAGAAGAAATGGCCTAAAGCAGAGTCTCCTAGTTTTTTCTATTGCATCTCTCCATCAGCTAAAAGTGTTAGAACCCTACCTCCATTGATATGTGATTATAGGTTATATATTTGTAATACTGTATTAATGCATTTTATACATTTCAAGAGATGAACACAAAATAGAAAAGTGAAAAGGAGAGCTCATATATATATCTTTAATTTTAATATTTTCTTCCTATTACCCTTTGAAAACCTTACCTATATAGAGAATTAGAGAGGGAGAGAGACAAGGACCTCAGGCAGATAGCATTTCGTTCATACCAGTGACAGGTCACGGAAGTCTGACTTGGGGCAGTTGAATGGGAACACACACCCCTAATATTCTAAGAGCCTCTTGTGATAATTTTAAAAATACTTTAAATACATAGACATATTTAACTGTCCACCAATTTAAGTTTCCTTAGTTATGAAATATTCTAGTCCAACCCAATTGTGTTAAAGCAAAGTCAATGCCTCATTTCCTCAGGCAAGAAAACACTCTGGTATTAGACATCCACGAGCGGAGGCTTGGCCATGTTTAACTGCATCCTTAGGCTTGCTTTAAAATCCTCAGGGCCTCTGAAAACATCCATCATACTTTCTTTTTTCTTTTTTAGTTTATTAGGGTGACATTGATTAACAAAACCATACAGATTTTAAGTGTAAAACTCAACAAAACACCATCTGCACACTGCATCCTGAGCCCCTAGCCCAAAGTAAAGGAACTTTCCTCCCATTTATCCCTTCTTTGCCCCCTTACACCTCCCCCAACCCCTTTCCCTCTGGCTACCACCATCCTGTTGTCTCTGTCTATGAGCTTTATATATATA